TTCTCAAGAAACAAGAAAGACTGTACTTCACTTCTAACCCTTTTTACCTACGTTATCCGGGTTATAGCATCTGATCACAGGCATTCACTTGATATAAGCACAGTCACAGTCTTGTTTACAACTTGTATATGTTTTTTCTCTGTGGCCTGAAAATTGACGTGATGCGAGGATGTGTGCAGATAGGTTATGTTGAGACTGTCCCATCTGTAAAAAACGAGCCCACAGGTCGTCTGTGCAGCAGGTTTTTATGACCCACAGTTACGTTTTGTTGCTAGGCGACATCTAGTGGTCATAGTAATGATGACAGGAGCAAAGGGAAAAGATGATATGACATATATGACATATGACACTGGAGAGCGCTGTTCCATTCCCATGTGAAACTAGCTTTTTTTGTTGTTTCTATTCTACATGATGATCCGATATACTTAAGCACGTTGTTATTATTGTAACCAGGACGACAAAGGTAGGTACGCGGCTCTCGGTGCAGTCCACGTGTTTATTATGGTAAACCTGACAACCTGGGTCTGGTACGCCTGCAGCCATGGCGCCGCTATTTCAGGAGACACTCCTATGGGTCGTGTCAGAGAGGAGAAAAAAACGACCTGTATGTCTGTTGAGGTTGGAGGAGCTGGTGTTATGTTAGTGTTTTGTTTCTCGATAGATTTCTGTGTTTGTTATTTTGGCCTTCGTCCACTCTGAAGCTGGAATACACTCTCAATTTATTGGAAAGCATTTTGTAAACGAATACACCAGTTACCATCCACTAGTAATTTGTTCCCGTGGCTTCTTGGGACTTGGGGAAGATGGGGCACAATTTGTGTCTTGGCCATACCTACACGGGACACGGCGCTCTGATTTGAACATGTTTCCTGTGCGTTTACACCTGCATGTGTGATTTTCCAGATCCAGATCAAACGTCCACACTTGTGTTAACATGTGGAAATGGGGTCAAAGACAGAAGGAACAGTGTGTGTACGTCACTCTGAAAGGAAGTCAACTCCAATTACTGACACAGAAAATGTGAAGCAGGCTGATGCAGAACCTGATGGCACAGAAAAGATCATCTCCTGTCATGTTCCTGTCATGTCGCTTGTAAAACCTTTTCAGAGTGAAGGAGGATAAGGTCATACAGAGCCTGTATGTGTCGGGTCGCGCTACAGACACACATGCTCTGCTTGTTTGCTTAAACAGTGAATGAAGCCGCTCACCCCCAATGCATTAACGTTACGCTCCATCCATTGAACGATACAGGTCCAATGTTTGAATTCACACAGAGATAAAAGAAGAGAAACGGCTCATAAATTGTGTGAAGGGGAGAAAATCCTCCAGAGCTTTGATAGATACCTCACATTAGGGTATACATCTCAATTTTAGAGTGAAATTGCTCAAAGAAATCTCACAAGATAAAGAGAAAAGCTATGGCGTCTGATAACAGACAAACAAAACGACCTTGAACTCAGATATGAAAGGAATGGAGAAGAGAAAGGAAGCATCATAACAAAACAGCTCATTAAAATCAAACAAATGACTGCAGGGAGGGAGAGAGGGGAGCGGTGAGAGAGCCTGTGTGTTCATTTTCTTTGTCTGAGCGGAGCCACAGTGAGAATTCCTCTCCAGAAGAAAAGTGAAAATGTAAATAAATCGCACCAATCACACCAACAGGGCGATCTGAGATCTTGTTCTGAGTAATAACCTCATAAACATCTATATTGTGATATTGCAATATTGTGATATTATGAAGGGATTATTTGATAGCCTACTATGCCCCTTGGAGGAGCTTCATAACTGCTTCTCACGCTGGCTGATAAAATCAGGCACATTTGAATTCTGGCTTTGGCTGATGTGAAGTCACCTGCACTGTCATTTATTAGCTTGGAGAAAAGTTTACCTTGGGCCCAAAGTCCCGAACTTGATACAACAATTAGCTTAGCTTACTTGCTCACCCGTGTTGTGTAGTGTTATGTCATATGACATCTTTGGCACACAGGAAGTGAAGGTATAGCCAGTGCTACTGCGGCTTAATTGCATGCTAATCTCATGTAGCTACTGTATCTCTGTACTGTGCTCCACATCCTTGCTGTTATCCTTGTCGAGCAGTCACAAACACTGATTTCCTTTTTTTCAGTTTTACATGTTATTCACCCAATTTTTTTTTAATGTGAGGAGGTTGCCGTCATGTTTTTAGTGTGCATGCATATTCCCAGGGGTGGACAGTAACAAAGTACATTTACTTTAGCTCAGTCATTCAGTGTATTTTCCATTATCTGTACTTTACTTGAGTTTTTTTTTTTTTTTTTTTTTTTTTTTTTAGTACACTACTTTTACTCCACGACACTTTAAAGACAAATATTGTACTTTTGACTCCACGACATTTCTATGAAGAACTCCTACTTTGAAGATTTTTTTGTTTTTAGTCAGTGGAATGAATTTTCTTTTATTTTCTTTTTTTTTTTATTTTCTTTCTTTTTTTTAAAATTAGATTTTGTAGAACATACACTCTGTTCATCACAGGAGAAAAAACAATCACAGCCAACCTGACGGCGAAGTTGGTTGGTCGGTCAAATGACTTATGGTCATTTCTGTAGTCTTTTTATTCTACAGATTCTACAAGTAAGTGAGTACATTCAGTAGGTTGTTTCAGACTCATTAAGTTCTGTAAATGCACTGTTGAACAATACAGCAAAGCGCTGACATAAAAACGCACTATTCAGACTAAAGTATTGGGGAAATAATTGACCAGAAGGATCTATACTCTGACTGTCTGTTTAGTGTGACACAGATTTTGATGATTTTTCAGCTGTTCGTCCTCAGCTGCAGAAATTTAGCGTTTGGAATTTGCTCTAGCTCTGATTCACATTGTGACATCACAATGGTTGCTCTACTGTGATGGTGGCAAAGGCTCATGGAGATTGTAGTATTCAGAAAAAACACAATTTCTCAGAGATATGCTCAAATAATTACAATCGGGGCCATAACATACACAACACCTGCAAGACTGTTTCTGTGTTGAGGAACACTGAGGTTATGTCAGTCACCAGTGGCTCCACCCACTTCATTTCTCTATTAACAACTAACAACTCTGAATGAACAACAGGATATTTGAGACCAGCCTCCTTGATGGAGCATCTTTGGTATGCAATATATCAAGCTGCATCATAAGCACTTTCCTAAGGAATCATTCTTCACTCTGAATCAAACTGGGGAGCTTTGTGAATTTGAGTGTGTATTAATGTAATTCCTCATTCATTCATTCAGCTTCACATGCTCTTATAAGAGGGAAAATAAGACGTTATGGGTATGTTATGGTTTTATATGGCTGCTGTTATAACACACATTGTTGCCCTGCATTGATTTTTACAGGAAGTATTAATATGAAATCAATTGGACTGTTAAAATCTGTTTACTGGACAGGAAACTGCACAGGTCTGTGTGTGTGTATGTGTGTGTCTGTGTATATGTGTGTGTGTCTGTGTGTGTGTGTGTGTGTGTATGTGTATGTGTGTATGTCTGCGTGTGGTGTGTGTGTGTGTGTGTGTGTGTGTGTGTATGTGTGTGTGTGTGTGTGTGTGTGTGTGTGTGTCTTTTTGCAGCTTGATAAAGTGGCAAATGCCCATTTCATTCGCCCTGAGGTAGCAGCAAAGCTGCAACATCCAACTGTGTGAGTACTGTGTGAAAGTGAGTGTGAGTGTGTGTGTGTGTGTGTGTGTGTGTGTGTGTGTGTGTGTGTGTGTGTGTGTGTGTGTGTGTGTACCTTATCCAGGTGAGTGACTGTTCATTAAAGTGTATTTTTAATAGGAGTGTTCAGTTGGTGCTCAGCGATGCAGGCTGATTGAACTTTGTCTGCATGGTTCACTGCCTGTCCTCTCCATCACTTCCTCTCTCTGTCTGTTTCAGATTTCAATTTCAAACAAACTTCACATGAAACTCTTTCTTTCTTTCTTTCTTTCTCTCTCTTTCTCTCTCTCTCTCTGGCTGCACTAAGTCTGAGGTGTATCATATTCAATTGAATTCATTCAGGCAAAAAAACATGTGTGAGTTACATTCTACATGTCTGGGAGCAGGACAAAGGCCCCACCCCCAACAGTCTAGACCCCTAAACCTGACCATTTGATGTGACAAAAACTGCAGCTGAAAATACTGCAAAGGAGCTGGAGTGAGAATCTAACTATGAATCTGATAGTATATATATATATATATATATATATATATATATATATATATAGTATATATAAGGGGTGTAACTCGTGCCATGCTTGTACCATAAAGGTTTAGTCCTAACCACAGCTGCAAGGGTTCGAATCCAGCTGTGGCCCTTTAATGCATGTCATCCTGTCTCTCTCTCCCTGACTTTCCTCTCTCTCTCTCTCTCTCTCTCTCTCTCTCTCTCTCTCTCTCTCTCTGTTTCACTGTTGCTACCAAAATAAAGGCAAAAATCTGCCCTTTCTGCAGACAATTAGATACATTAATCTTTCTGAGAAAAACATGAGAATAGAGTGAAGAAATGTGCCTTTATGTGCATTTCTTGCATTCAAGAAACAAGAAGACATCCAATTTTAAATTATGTCCAGTTTTCCACAAGTTTACAAGTTTACAATAACGCCTTTATGTTTCAAAGTTAGATTCATAATGAATTAAAAGAAATGTCATGTTTTTCACGGCTTTTTTTTTTAACTGTACGGAAAAACATACCGAACCATGAATTCAAAACCGAGGTATGAACTGAAAAGTGAGTTTTGCGTATCGTTACAACCCTTTTAATATGAAAATCTCTGCTGCCTAAATACCTAAACTTGACACTGGTAGTAACAAGGAGTGAGGATCTTGTTACATTTTCCTTCCATGAAATCATGAAAAACAACAACAATAGTACATTTCCATCAGGAAGTGAAGGTATCTCACCCCCTGCCTCGTAGAATGAAATCAGCTCTAAATGCAGATACAGTAAGTGTCCATCCTTCCCACCTCCCTCCCCCCGTTCTTATCTGACAGCAGCTACTCACCAATGACAGGAGCCGCTCCTCAGCTGAAGTGGAGTTTGGCTCCAGACACCAGCAACAAATAAAAAAAACTAAAAAAAACGGGGTAGGGAGGTGGAGTATTGGTTTGGGCTTAAAGATTGGTGGGTTGTGGGCTGGACTGTGTGTTATTGGGAGATGGCGTCATCTTCCTGGGTGGGATTTAAGTCCACTACAGTTGTCCCTCGAAGAGAAGCCCCTCCCATCCCCTCTGATGATGATGACGGTTGGGAGCTTTTATTTGCACCTCCACCTGGGAGATGACAAGATGGAGTCAGATTAGCAGAAGTAGGAAACAGAGAGGAGTCACATATTGGTTTTCCTCCTCCGGTTACCTTGGCCTGCGGAGGAGGAGGATGGAGGCAGAGCGAGGACGTTGGCTCCGCCTCCGCCTCCTCCGTTGGTCTGGGAGCAGACGTTGGCTTGGCGTGCGGCGGCTTTCTGTTTGTAGTGGTTACTGTGCAGCTTGTACTTCATCAGGAGGATAAAGATGAAGACGAGGACAGAGGCCACGATGATCCCCCCGATGATGATGATCATAGTACCACCCAGGAACTGAGGATGAAGAGTTAAAGCGTGCAGACAGTTAGTCCTGTGATCTGTGATCTGATCTCTCCTGTCAGGCAGATCATTTGCCAACATCATGAAATCACAGACGGAAGTCTTTGAAGAGCCCTGTACAAGTGAAAATGTATCCGCAGCTCCATGACAACTGAGCAAATCCAGCTGCCGAGGAAGACTGTGTCATGACTGAAAGCTCCAGAACAGCTACTAAATGCACCTTGAAATGAGATTATTGCATTTCGGAAATGAGCGGATGACAAAATTTTTTATCTTCACAAGTTCCCATTCTGTAAATTCTCACCCAGTGTGTGTTGACGTGTGCAGGTCCTGTTCACTTGAACTGACCCTGACTTTTAATAAACAGTAAATAATACCAACTATGATCAGTGGCGATTCTAGAGTCCGTTGGGGCCCTAGGCAAAAATTTGCCAGGGGGGCCCCTTGAATCAGCGTTTATCACCATTATGTAAAAAACATCAACGAACATACGAAATCTAAACATTTTTTTTATTCCAAATGTTCACGTTAAGAAAATTTTCAAAATATAAATACAAAGAACAATAAAAACCTAAATAACTAACTAACTAACTTCAATGTTGGTAGGTCCTAAATAATCCACATTATAATGCTCATCAACACATAAAGCCCCTTTTAGTTCAGCAGATAACTGCAATAATCTTTTCAAATGTGTTATGTTAATTCCTCTGGGGCCACTCATTTGAAAAAAATCCCATTAGCCACTTGAAATTTCAAGATGGCCGTCATTTCTGGCAAAGGAAACATATATTTTACCACTGAAGTTTACCCATGGGACAACTTTCAATGACTGCCAAAAATAACATTTCCTAGCCTGAAACGGCAGCCATCCTCAATTTTGGAGTGGCTAATATATGCAGTTATCTGCTGAGCTAAAGAGGGCTACTACCGCTGAGCAGTGTTGGTGACTTTTAACGTTAGAACCTCTGAAATGTTTGAGTTTTTATTATGTGAATAATGTTTAAATTAAAACTACAGGTCTCTCAGTCTATGACTTTTCATAAATATATGTTTTGGATGTTTTCTAAAGCCATGAAGGTATTAAAATAAAAAAACACAAGATTTTTGAGCATTTATTCCTCGGACCACAAAAGCTGTCAGACAGACCGCTGTGCAGGCTGTGTCCATTTGAATTATGCCAATTTTTCCATTTTGCGGTTTTCGTGCATCTATTCTTTTCACAGTTTTTTGTTTTCATCCAACATTAGGCCTGCGTTTTTATATGCGGATCCGGAGACATGGGAGTCTGCTCTTGACATGAGAGTCTGCAGATGCAGGTGTGTGCCACAGGTGCGTCAGGTGGTGCAGCATGGTCACTATTAGTTAATCATTCTCTAATGTAATCTACCCCCATCCTCACCCCCCGACCCCCAACACGACATTATATGTTTTCCTACTCAGATGTCCCTGCAAATCGTCCATTGGTTATTTAAAGGGGAGGGAGCTGCATTTTGAGACAATGCTGTGGAGTCAGCTCTCAGGGGCCCCCTAACAGCCTGGGGTCCCAAGCAGTTGCCTGTTCACATGCTGCACCTCTGCACTCTGATATTTCATAGGTTTCAGATTCTGTTGTATCTAATTAGAGTTTTTTTTGGTCCCAATGTTTTCAGTGCTCAGTACACTTCATACATGTGAGACTGAGTAAAAGACTTTCTCAGCTACAAATGAACTGGAATATTCATTCAACACTGTCTCCATTCCCCTGATAATTAGAGCCACATTGTCTTTTCCAGAGAATTCCTGCCGCTGAGCTCAGTGTGTTGTCAGACTGACACCACTGTAACACGGCACTCCAACACACTAACCTGGTCTCGTATAGAGTGACAGCGTCCGTACTCCGTCTCTGTAGTGAAGGACACGCAGCCCACCAGCTTGGTGCCTGTCAGGGCAGTGATGCCATCATCGTACACGGCCAAGACACACAGCTCGTAGTCCCGCGATGACGCCAGGTCGCTCAGCAGGAAGTATTTGTGGTTGGCTGGGATCATCCTGAATGACAGGAAGACAGAGAGGCAGATATTTTATTTTATTTTTGTCCTCCTTTGTAGATTATTTGTAGAAGAACAATTCTTCCACAAAACAATAATTGGAGTTCAACAGTAGATCTTCACTGACAAAAACAACCTGACATGATGAGTCAGTTCAGGTCTTCTCACTGAGCAGACACATCTGTAGCTGGCTTTCTTTAGTCTAATCATTTTTGTCATTTATTTTTTACAAGAAGTCCAGCGCCCATAAATAAAAGTCACAGGACCCAAGAGTGGCTTGTTCACTGGACTGAGTGGTGAATATTTCTGTCTGTGAACCTCAGACAACCCCGGTCACAGCAGGCGACAGATGGAGAAAGATCAACGAGACATTCACATCCAACACCAGAAGTTTGTTCCACACTTTGATTATGTGTTGACAAAGCCAACTCTGTTACGGCCAAGAGATGTGACTGAAAGCTCCACAAAAATCTAGTAAGTGGACCTTTTGGGTTACAGAGTTTTTTGCTGACACTTTTGAGTTGTTTGGCAGAAAACAGAGACAGATTTTCAGACGTAGTCAAAGGTCATTAATCTGATCTGAACATTAAACCACAGGAGTAAAGACTGGAGAGGTCACATTAACTCCTCGCTACCTTCCGCTCATCATCTTGTCACTTTCTGTTAAAAAGTCCAGTGTTAATGAAGCAGTAAATACAGTGACAGAGCTTCAACAAAAATCTATTTCCTTAACTGTGACTCTGACAGTTACTTGTTCTGGAGGAGGACAGTGTTGAAGGGGTTTGCTGCTTCGTATTGAATCACACAGAATGAAGGAAGTGACTGGATTTCTTTCTGTCCCTACAATATATGCAAGCATTTTTTCCCTTATTCCACATAATAAAACTTTGGAGAGTTTACTGCATTTTTTACAAAACTATTCATATTATTTCTGTGCTGAATAGGCTGTTTTGCCTTCTATCAGAAAATACAAGTGTTCAGTATTTAGCTGAGACCAAGTTCTGCTGATGTAGAATTAAACACTCAAGTTGCAGAAGTCAGAGTGTGAAGTGTAAACCCTTGTTAAGTTCTGATGGAACTTTTCTAATAATAAGTATTTTTACATTATACACGGCTTTATAAAACACTAAGCTTTGGTTTGACTTCTTTATCATAGCTTCATGAAATTGCATTCTTGCAAAAGTATCATCCACTGTCATCCACTCTCTGCTGCTTCAACTGAGTTACTGCACTTTCTCAACTGTAGGTGCATTTTTCGACTCTGACTTCGCTCAAGCGTCATCACAGACTGAAACATTTACCAGGGAACGACACATCTGTATGAAAACACTGTGAAGCTACACAGAGGACTGCAATCAACAGCCACTGTTAAAAAGTACGCTCTACTGCAGCTTAAACAACAGCTCATGCATTTCAATGAACACCAAAACTGTGTTGTCGAGAACCTCGCACCAAATCTTTTACATATACTATGAGATTGAAGACGGTTCCTCTGGTTGTTTCATAAAGATTCTGCACTACAAAATGACAGTTTGTCTATGTCTTCTATCTGCAGACAAAGGCTGTGGCATATTCAGCAACTGGTCTCAGATCTAATCATGTAGCAGTAAATAGTCCACCAACTGTAGAGCATATGTGCCAGAACAAGCACGTGTGCACCATCATCGATGTGTTCTCATTTCGCTGTTAATGTGCCAGATGTAAACAACGAGGGGGTCTGTTGTAGTTGTGATGCTGCAGGTTGTGATGAGTTGAACCTGAATCTAATCACAGGCAGAAACAGGAGAAAATCAACCTTGGAACAAATAAGATAGAAGATGCATTTACGCAGAGGAAAAATTGTTACATTCAGACACATTCATGACATGAAAATAAATCACCCTAAAGTTTGAGCTCTATTTACAAAGGTCTGTACACACAGACACACACATTCATTTTAAATAACCTCGTCTTTGATGGATCTGTTGTCTAATACAGTTCAAATTTTTTTTATTTTCTCATTAACCTGTGGACACACAAATAAAGATGGACAAAGCCTCCATGAGGTCACCCACAGGTTTCTGAAGAAGCTCAGAGCGAGCTCCTCCACTGTTCCCATCTTGGCGGTGACCCTAACTCCTAGCTAATCCAAAAGAGGAGGGGCATGTGTGGAGCTGAGAGCTCGCCAGTTTGTGGCAAGCATACACTCATCCACCTGTCACTCAAAGAGGCCACGCCCTTAATTATACAGAACTTTAAGCCTTAAAAAAATGTAAACAGGTGAGTTATATAAAAGTTCACCCCCTGTACAGTTGTCATAAAGGAGGGTATTAGTTGTAGAGATCAAAACTGTTTTCTGTACCAGTTTGTAAACATGTTTGTTCCTGCTGTAAAGTTGGACATTTTAACGTGGGAATCTATGGGGACCGACTCAAGTGGTCATTAGAGGAACTGCAGTTTTTGGCACATGTTTGCTGGCTTCATTTTTCAGCTTCAGAGGTTGCTGCTTGGTTACAACATATGGACTACTGTTTGTAAATTGGTAATTATGAATCTAAGTGAACAAAAACTACATACAGTAGGTCAGGGGTCCATTCTCTAGCCTCTTCTATTCAACATCCACGTGCTCCCCCTTCCTCAGATTATGGAATATTATAGCATGTCTTACCAGAATTATGCAGATGACACTCAACTCTACATAAGTGTCACCAGGTGAACACAGTCACAGTGAGTGGATGTGCCAGAATTTTCTACAACTAAAGACAGAAATAGTTGTTTTGATTAAGAGTGCTCACCTTGAGTCCATGACACTCACATCTACAAATTAAAACAGAAATCTTGGTTATTGGCCGTTTTTCAATGTTTCATTTCAGCATGTTTTCTCAACAGCCACGTGAAGATCAGCCTCCTACCACCTTAAAAACAGCAAGAATTCAAGGATTTATGTCTAAACGGGATACACAAAAAACTTGTTCATGCGTTTATTTTGAGCAGGCTGGACTATAGTAATGATGCCTTCACAGGTCTTGGTAAAAAATCAACCGGACAGCTGCAGCTCATCCAGAATGCTGCTGCCAGCATCCTCACTAACACCAAGACAGTGGAGCGCATCACATCGACCCCTTAAATCGCAGCTCTGGCTTCCTGCGTGTCAAAGATAGATTTCAAAATCCTATTCCTTCCTAAATGGTCTCAGGCATAAATACATCTCTGATTTTCTTGTATGTTACGAAGCATCCAGATGCCTCAGGTCATGTAGGATAGGTATATACTGAGTGATCCCAGAATCAGAACCAAACAGCTTTTAGCTTTTCTGCTCCTCACCCTGTGGAACAAGCTTCCTGAACACCTGCTGAAACTCTCAGCTCAGGTGAATCAGGCCTCAAAACATTAACAATAAATTACATCTTTTAAATCCTTAACTAATTATCTTCTTGTTTTTGAGGGCTTTTAAATGCAATTTTAATGTTTTCTTAATGTCTTATTTTGAATGTATTCCCATGCCTTGAAGCACTTTGAATTGCCTTGTGTCTGAATGGTGCTGTTTTAATAAACTCGCCTTGCCTTTAAATTAAATGTGATGCTGGAAAGTGAAGACGTGTCCCTTATGTTTGTCTCAGACCTTTGCTGTTCAATCATGCAGACATGTCTAGATTCTTGTATTGATATTGCAGTTTTCATTCTGTTTCAGCTGAGCTGAAGAGAGAACAGCAGAGATCAAACACGACAGTCTCATAAAGAGAAGAACAGGGGAGATTTCCAAATGAAAAAGACTGAAGTTGAAGTAAAATTGGAGTGGAGAGAATGTGTTCACACAGAGCAAAAGACAGAAGGAGCAAAAGAGAAGAAGGGAATGGACAGGGATGTTGCACTTTCAATTTTCAGCTTGAAAATCAAAGGGTACAAGGCAGAGTGAGATTAAAGACGGATGGGAGACAAGGAGGACAGTGGTGAAAAGAGGAAAGAAGAATAAAGGGAAAGAGAAAACAGGCAAAACAGGAAGACACGGAGGAGAAGTGATGAGAACTGGGAGACGAGGTGAGACAGAAACAGGAAAAACGGGGAAGGAGGGGGAGGGAGTGAAAATAAAGAAATGCCACGGTGGAAGAGTCAGAAAAACAAGCGGGAGATGAGACACGATACAGAAAGAAATAAAAGAAACAAGAGAAGAGTAATGTATTCAGTGACATGAGCTGAGATGAAAATGTACACTTTTTTTGTTTTGGGCCAGACTCAGAGAGAGAAGCTGAGAACAGCCTCCTGTCAGGGCAGAGTCATCATCACTGTTTTACTCTTACTTTCCAAGTCAGTCAAAGTCAGAGTCAACTTCAGTGTTAATTCTGCCTCATGCAGGATCCAGCTGCTGTTTCTCCTCAGTATAGGCACATACAAGTATTACATAGAATAACAAAGGCTTAAAATACAAGGATAGAAAATATTTTGGAAAATATTTTTGGAAAAATTTGGAAGTTAAGATCCGACCTGAAACAAAACATCCTTTTCTGATTTGTTCCATTTCCATTTTTTGTCTCTTTGCTATTGCCAACGATAATAAGTAGAAGTCAACAGTCTCTGTCCTCATCAATTTACATAGAAGAAAGTCCACAGCTCCATTACTAGAGTCAGAGGACAGATCCTCCTGGTCAAATATGACTCCAATACGTGAAAGTTGTTCAGTCAGATGTTTACTGGAGTTAAAGTACTGGAGGACTTTAACTATACTGAGGTATTTATGAATACATTTTTAAGTGAACACATTGTTGTATTGTTCCACATTTAAAGAACTTAATGTATCTGAAACAACCTACTGACTGACTGACTGACTGACTGACTGACTGACTGACTGACTGACTGTAGAACCTGTAGAATAGAAATCTTGGAGATTTAGTCAGTAACGCTAACTTTGCATTTTCATTAGCTAACTATGAGTAGGCTATGCTAGCTATATTAGCGATGGATTCAAATACAACAACTTGGCAAACTCATAAGAAATCAACCATGATATAAAAGCTGGTTTTTTGT